CAGCACCAAATCTAATCAAGAAGCCCCTCACCATTGTCAACGCTTATTTTTGAACAAAAAGGGAAAAGAAGGCTTTGTGGCAGTGTTCTTTTCTGAATCAGGTAAGGAAGGCTTTGAGTTCTGAAAAAGGACAAGAAGTTTTGTGCTTTGATCAATGACAAGAAGACCTGGTGTTTTCTTGACAGAAGAAGGCATGGAGTTCTGTTTTTTTTTTTTTTTTTTTTTAATCTAAAGATCTGTGTTTTTCACTTTTTCCATCAGTTATTTTGACAAGTTATTTCCTCTCGCTTCTTTGGCGGGTTATTCCCTCTTGTTTCTTTGGCGAGTTCTTTTTCATTAAGGTGAAACAATTTAATTGATCATGGCGTATGTTTATCTCATCCTGAGTAACGAAGAAGATCTGAACCATGATATGCAGTTCAGATTAATGAAGATATTATCTACGGACAGAAGAGCCGCAATAGTTACTCAAGTGGTATGCAATACTTCTCAAACAGAGTCAGTCTTGGATAGCCATATCATTAACAACATCAAAGAAGCTTCAGGTTCCTCCAATGAATTCAACTTCAATCTTGTAACACAGTTTGCGATTCAAGTTTCTTTTAGCATTGCTAGGAAAGTTGTTTCTACATCTGACTGTAAAGAATGTTTTATCATTATATCGATCTTTATTGTAACTGTTTCAACTTATGATTAATGAATTAGCTCTTTATTTTCAAAAAAAAATTAATAATAATAATAATAATATTAATAATAATAATAATAATAATAATAATAATAATAATAATAATAATTGTGGTGAAAATTGCGCATAAAGGAGAATTGAAAATGGTTTTAATTGGGAAGGGTAAAGAATGTCATTGTTTTAAAATAATGACAAAAATGGAAAAAAAGTTAGGAAGCTACTAGCTTATTTTGGCAACATTATCAAACAGAGCTTTTTATTAGTAGCTTAAAATAAGCTCTAAGTTCATAAATAAGCTTTGTCAAACACTCATAATTTATTTTGTACTAACATATATAATATTATTAGTAAAAATCAATTATACTTGCCATAATATTATGGCAAGTATAATTGATTTTGTACTAATAATATTATACCTTTTATATATATATATATATATATATATATATATATATATATATATATATATATATATATATATATATATCCATTAAAAGTATCATAATAATTATACAGAAGAAGGGAATGATAATCTATTTTGTATTAATAATATTATACCTTAAGTATAAAATAAGAGTATCGGTCAATTATGTTAATAAATAATTAATATTTTGATACATTAATTTTGACTATGAAATAATTAGGTCGGAAATAATTAATAAGAATATTAGGCAATATCAATGTCATCCAAAATATCAATGTCAAGAAAATGAGTTTCCGAGATCCAATTTTCAGGGGATCCCTCATCGAGCAAACACCCCTATCCATCGTTTTCCCTTTGCCTGCACCGCCCTCCCTCGTCAACTCCTCCGCTTCTCTCCTCATCACCGACGATGAGGCCGTCGCCGCCGCCTGCCCCTTCACACTCTCCGTCGCAACCGTATAAGTTCTCTTGAAGAAATCTATAGTGATTAGCATAATTTTTGTATATACAGATCAGTAAAAACCTTAGCGTTCTCGCGATGGTTCACGGCGGCTTCCTGCTAAGACAATTAATTATTTTTATAAAGGGATATTGTAATATGATTTAGATAATTATATTATTATTAAAATAAATATAAAAAAACATAAAGGAGAAATAATTTAAAAAGTAAATATAGTGTCAATTATTATATAATTATAATGCATATTACATTTCAATTTATAAAGTTGTAATATGATTTCTTACTTGGCGGTGGAAGAAGGGAATGTTAGAGTTACCAACACGGGAAGAGGAGAGAGGCAGTGCAAAATGAAGAATTACAATTTGTTTTAGCCACCAATCCATTATATTTATTTATATGTAGAGAAGGTGAAAATTATAAATTAGTAATATCAGTTTTCTTTTCCAATTTACCTTCTTAATCAAATATTATTTCACACTGATCCGGTCATTTTCTTTTCGATTTTCAGTCAATTAGGGATCTTTATAATTTTTAGTCAATTAATAATATTGTTTCCTTTTCCAATTTGCTTAATTCCCGTTTCATTTTCCATTAGGATGATAGGATCTTTTTATATTTTCAGTCAACTAATAATATCAGTTTCCTTTTCCAATTTACCTTTACTATTGTTTGGGCGGAAATTTCACAATGGAGGATTTTGTTATCTACTATCTATCTACTATACTAATAAGAGACCAAGAGTGTTAGGCCTATAATGGGTAGAAAAAATGGTGGTCAAATTTTTTAATCAAATGAAATGGCTCATATTGATCAGATTTTAATTTTTCTTAAGATTTCCTAATTTATCCTTAATGAATATGATTATCTGTTAACTTTTCCGTTAAATATTATCTTTTCCGTTAATTTATGTTAGTTCATCGTTAACTTACTTATTGATTTTATTAATAAGAAAGGTCTTAGGTTCGAACTCCATCCCAATCAAAGTTGGCATAATTAATACTATATTTTACTCTTATTAAATTAAATTAAATAATAATTTAGTAGCTACAACAAAAAATAATACATATGCATTTCTTTAATTTATTTAGAATTATGTGTCTACAATGTCTTTATTCAAAACAAAATTATTCATTATCATTAAATTAAATAAGAGAAATAATTTCATTAGTTATATTATCTTTATTTTTCTCCAATATAAAAATTCTTTACATTCAAATTCATCAATTGATTATATTCGCTACATTGTCCTACAATGTCTTTATTAAAAAAAAATTATTCATTATCAATAATTTAATTAAGAGAAATAATTTTATTAGTTAAATTGTCTTTATATTTCTCCAATGTAAAATTTTTTTACATTCAAATTCAGCAATTGAATATATTCACTACATTGTCTATTATCTTTTTTTGTGCACTATTTTTTAATTAAATATCAATACAAAATAATGCTATATATTTATTTACCAAGTATTTTCTTAATACCATAAAAAATTTTAAAAATATAATTAATAAAGTCAATCATATTAACTACTTGAGGGATTTGTTGACAAAGAGAGTATTTAAATCATACAACAAATTGAAGTGAGAACTATACCTCGCAATGTCCTTGTTTGACAATCAGCAGTTAGCAGATAGCGTTAGTGGATTATATTAGCTGATTTGACCAGCAAATTATATCAACGATTGGTAAAAAGATATTTGAAAAAATTAGCTGTTTAAATTAACATGTAAAATGACTTAAGGGTATACATATATTTAATATTTAATAATAACAACAACAACAACAACAACAACAATAATAATAATAATAAAAATAATAATAACTGTTTTAAAATATATATATATATATATATATATATATATATATATATATATATATATATATATATATATATATTAAATTAATTAAGCCATGGGGGATTTATTGACAAAAAGAGTATTCAAATCACACAACAAATTGAAGTGAGAAACTACATCGCAATGTCCTTGTTTGGCAATCAACAGTTAGCTCTTCAATATTAGTATATATTTAATATTTTATGCCTTAATTTTTATTTGCTCTCGATCTCCCTTATGTCCTGTATTTGATTTCAATCATACCTATACAATTATTTTATTTTCAATTATAATCAATCTTGACTATATTATCTTGCATTTGTAAACTTAGAATTACTTATTTAAATACGCAAACTCAACATTCAATTATCTATGCATGAACAATTCCAATATAATCTTGCCTTGATATACTTTAAAGTACTTATTTTTTAAAAAAAAAACATTGGACATTATCCCAATCGCGCAACGCGCGTAAAAAACTAGTAGATAATATAGATATAGATTTCTAAAATATTTATTAAAGTTTTTAAAAAGACTTATTAACATGTAGGCTTTAAATAGACTCAAAATAAGACTTTGAACCATTTTTAATGGCTTACATATTAAACAGACTTTTTAAAAGACTTCAAGTCGGATTGTTATGTCGTGCAACCGTGTACATCATGCATGGTGCACACGAGTCTAGATTCATAATTTCTATAATGTAGATTCATAAACTTTGTACTGTAGATTTATAATTTCTAAACCGTAGATTCATAATTTCTATACTGCGGATTCATAATATCTATACTGTGGATTCATAATTTCTGTACTGTAGATTCATAATTTCTAAACTGTATAGTTATCAAATTATGAAAATATAGTTATGTGATTTGTGAATACAGAGTTCAACAATTGGGAATATGAACATCGAAAATTATGAACATATAGCTTAATAATTATGAACATATATTTATAAAATTATGAATCTATAGTATAGAAATTATGAATCTACAGTATAGAAATTATGAATCTAGTCCCGTGTGCACCACATAATTTCTATACTGCAGATTCATAGGCCAATTGGGCAAATTATGCCGTGGAACACTGTTTCAAAACTGTTCATAATTATAAATATATAGTTCTATAATTGTGAACATAAATTTGTCAACATAATTATGAACATATAGTGCTGTAATTATGAATATAGAGAATCAATAATTGTGAATATGAAGTTCAAAAATTATGACTATATAGCTTTATAATTATGAACATATAATTCAGTAATTATAAACATAGAGTTCTGTAGTTGTGAATATAGAGTTCAATAATTATGAATATAAAGTTAAAAAATTATAAATATATAACTTTATAATTATAAACATATAATTCAGTAATTATGACTATAGAACCCTGTCCACCTTACAAGATGAATACGGTTCCACAGCATAACGGTTGGACAAATTATAGGTTATCAACTCAGATCTCTGCTTAAATTTTCGTAACAGACTCAGACCAAAGCCCAGACCTAATTTTGGGCTCGGCCTATTTCCATTTCTAGATATGATATGAGTAGTATAAGAAAGGTCGTTCCGAACTTCCGACTTTTACAGCTCTCGTTCCATTTTCTCCTCCTCTTCTCCCCTTTCGGAATCTGCATTGCGAGTTGAACAGAGGTACGAGAGAGAAAGAGCAGATATGAAGGTGATAGACAAGATCCGGGAGGTGTCCAAGGAGAACAATGGCAATAAGGTGGTGTTCTCCTTCGAGTTCTTCCCTCCGAGGAAGCAGGAAGTAGTTGAGAACTTTTTCGAGCGGATGGAGCGCATGGTGGCTCATAACCCCACCTTCTGCGATATCACGTGGGGCGCCGGCGGCTCCACCGCCGATCTCACCCTCGACATCGCCAACCGCATGCAGAATAAGGTGTGCGTTGAGACCATGATGCATCTCACCTGCACCAACATGCCCGTTGAGAAGATCGACCACGCTCTGGATACCATCAAGTCTAACGGCGTCCAAAACGTCCTCGCCCTCCGCGGTGACCCTCCTCGCGGCCAGGACAAGTTCGTCCCCGTCGAAGGCGGCTTCTCCTGCGCCTTGGACCTCGTGAGTACCGATTTTCTCCCTTTCCTTTTACTTCTGTTGAATCTGATCCAAGCGCCAGTTTTAAGTAATTCGAGTATATTATTTTCACTTTTTTCTTTCACTTATCACTTAGGATTAGGAGTTAATTAGATGATTAATTCATTACATGACTGGAAAAATATAGAAAAGGAATAGCTGAACATGTAAAAAAACCTCTGGATCAAATTGAGTGTTAGTCTGTCAGTCGACTAAAAGCTGCTTAGGTATGAAATCGCCTCAGCCTAGGGGTGTGTAGTTTAGCGGATTATTCTATGTTTGATCGTTTGTCTCTTTTTTTGGCAGGTGAAGCACATGCGTGAAAAATACGGGGACTACTTCGGGATCACGGTTGCCGGTTATCCAGGTATGAATTTTTTTTTTTTTTTGAATGTTATTGACTCTGTTACAATGCAGCATCTAGTGTTATTAGACCACAAGTTCCTTGGCCTGACTTAAATTTATTAGTTACTTAAAATTTTCACTTCCCCTATATACAGAGGCACATCCTGATGTTATACCTGCTAGTGGGGTGGCTACAGCTGAGGCCTACAACAATGACCTCGCCTATCTCAAGAAAAAGGTTTTGTCTGTTTTACATATTATTATGTTGCTAGTTTCTTTAATAAAGTAGTATTAATCATAAATAAATTGATTTGAAAGATTTGAATCTTGTATTTGTTGGATCTTCAGGTGGATGCTGGTGCAGATTTAATCATTACTCAACTCTTCTATGACACTGACTGTTTCCTCAAATTTGTGAATGATTGTCGTCAAATTGGAATAACATGCCCCATTGTTCCTGGTATTATGCCCATTAAAGATTACAGGGGCTTCGTCAGGTGGACTGGCGTATGCAAAACCAAGGTATGCTATAGCTTTTTGATGAGCTTTTTAGCGCTGATTTGGGCACTTAAAATTTTTTTTTTCTTTTGATGATGCATTCATTCTAGGTTCCCCCTGAGGTTATGGCTGCTCTGGAACCAATTAAGGACAATGAAGAAGCTATAAGAGCTTATGGAATTCACCTAGGAACTGAGATGTGCAAGAAGATTATGGCGAGTGGGATTAAGACATTACATCTTTATACATTAAATAACGAGAAATCTGCATTGGCAATATTGATGGTTAGTTTCTGTATCTTCTTTCCAAGTCCTTTAGCTAAAAATGAAGAATGGGCTAATGTTATAGACTTCTCTTGCAGAATCTTGGATTAATAGAGGAGTCCAGGGTTTCAAGGTCATTACCTTGTGTAAAGGAAGATGTCTTATCCGCACCCAAAACGAAGGATGCAAATCAGGCAAATCAGAATACACATGGGAATGGGAATTGACAGAAATAAAATCATCTCAATCATCTCCTTTTCTATAATTAGTTATTTTCTAGTCTAGCAGTATAAATTAGAATCTCTAGATGAGGAGAGTAAATCATCATATCTTTTACCTTAGTCTTTAAGCTCTGAGTAGCGGGGCAAGAGCCTAAAGCTGTTGTTGGAGTAAGTCTCGTGACTTCCTGTACTTTTTTTTTAGTCAATAAAAACATACCTCTTTGATTCTTTTCTCTATCAAATTGGTCCGACCTGTTGCTGAATGACGAACACACAAATGGATTCTTGAGTAGAGACTTTAAAGAAGAACCAGGAGATGTTACAGAAAAACGAGGATGAGACCCATACTGAATTGGCAACATAAAATGATCGATTTGTAGCCATGGAAGCTTCCATGGCTATGTCTAATCTCCTCGCTCTCGCTTCCCCAGAGGGCACAACAATGCCAGTGCTTTAGCAACTGCCGTCCTAACATCGAATTCAACCTCTCCTCTAGAATATGTTTAGTCGGACAACACCTCGCTGGCCATTGGAAAAACAAAACTCCCTACCTTTGTAGGCACAAACCCGATTGGGTGGTTAGCTAGAGTGGAGCGGTACTTTGTCATTCATCACACCCGAGATGATTTGAAGGTCCCAACATCTTTCGTTAGTATGGAGGGGGCAGCTCTACATTGGCTCCGATGGAATTTGGTGAAGAATTGCTTGGCCCACCGTTTGAACAGCTTGTTGCTCTTCGTCAAATAGGCTTGGTGGATGAATTCATCGCTGCTTTTCGAGCTTGCCCAAATTCTTGGACTTGTTCCTCACATTCAATTAGGGCTTTTTCTCAATGGCTTGAAACTTGCAATTCGGGTGCGGCTCCGACCGAATGATGTGACTGACCGCTGAATAGCAATGCGTGTTGCTCGTGCGGCAGAACAAGAAATTGAATTTCTCTCGACGGTTCCTTGGACGCAATCTACAAGAAAAAAAAATGTAGCGCTCCAGATAATTCCTTCACAGCCCAAACCCATTCCAACCCAGTCTCAATTCTCTGGTAGCAAACAAACATCTTCCTTCTCCTCCCAAACTCATTAACGATAGGCCTAGCTTCTAAAATGATATTTTTAGCTTGTGCTTAACTCCGCTTTGTATCAGTTCCTAACAGTACAATAATCATCTCTAATGGAACGATATCTTAACACTATACTGTAATTTGATACTTGATGGATGTGTAAAAACTAAAAAACCATCTTATCACTTCAGTGCCAAAATTCATCATGTCGATCACCATTTGTTTAGAGCATGCCGGAATCTTAAATTATAAGGGTATTTTTGTTATTTTATAATTAAAATTCCAACTCAAACATGAATAAAGGGATTTTATCCCTAAGATCCCAATTCGTAGTTTTCTTCTTCATCCGATTGTGTGTAGGTAAACTATGTCTTGTATGTGATCCTAGCTAGTAAAAGACCACAATAAGGTAAACTAGTTTAAGTTGCTCCATAACTCACTAATTCAAACTAAGAATGTCAATAAGCCACTCCTAGTCGTTGTAGTTACCAAATTAACAACTTAATTAATTAACTTGGCATGTGTTGCCAAAAAAAAAAAAAACTATATAAATCATAGAAACTAATTATATACCAAATAAATTTAAATAAATACAAAATTGTGTATATTTGTTGGGCTCGTTTGGTTCGCTGGAAAATATTTGAAGGGAAATGGAATTGAAATTCCATGGAAAATAAATTCCAAGAAAATAGATTCCATTGTTTGGTTGGTGGAAAAGAAATTACTGGAAATATGAATTCCATTGTTTGGTTGAGTTTGGAATGGTAAGGAATAATGTGTATAATGACAAATATAACCCTACACAACAATAATAATATAATAATAATAAGAGTAATTAATAAAGAATGGTGAGGGTAAAATTGGCATATTAGTTTTCCATGGAAAATCTTTTCCATGGAAAACAAAATACCTAACAAAAGCTAGGAATTTGTTTTCCTTATACTCAAGGAAAACTTTTTCCAATGGAAAATGTTTTTCATCCAACCAAACAACATAAAACATCATTTTCCTTCACTTTTAGGAAAACATTTTCCATGGAAAATGTTTTCCATCCAACCAAACACCTTTGCCTCTAGAGTTAATTTTAGCGGTCCTTGTTTTTTGTGATAATTTTAAATTTAGTTATAGATTATTGTTTTTATCATTTAACATCTTAAACTATTATATTTTGGATACTTTTAATCTTTTTAAAAAAAACTGGGTGTAACTCTATTTTAGACAAGAGTATTTTTATCTCTTATTTATTTATTTATTTTCTCAATAAATTAATTTGGTCCTTACATTTTGTCTATACATGAAAGTGATGGAACTATCATTGTAACAATAAACAAAAACTTTTCACTACTTTTTTTTTTTATATCTTTTATTGAGAAATACTTAGAATTTGATATTATATTGTTATCCACGAAATTACAATTGATATTTTTTTGTTTAAAAGAACATTTAAAGTTTTTTGGTAAACATTTCCAACTTTTTCATAATTTTAACAATGTTTGTTGGGTAAAAATTCTTGGTTTGTTTGTTTGTTTTTTTTGTTTTTTTTTTTTTTGTTTTTTTTTGTTTTTTTTTTGGTGAATGTTTTTATTTTCATTTTAAAGGCTTACAGATCTTTTATTTCTAAAAAAATTATAGAAGAATTAATTAGCAGGATTTGAAATTAAAGAAATGATATAATCTAAAATCACACTTTGATAATAGATACTACTCTAATGACCTGTACTACGGCATCTACCATATCCGGGTCCACGATTCCGCCAATTGCTTCCCGTAGACCAATATATGTTTTCCTATTTTGTAACAAATATTAATTTTCATTTATTTAATTAATTTCTAATAATTTTCTCGAGCTTTGTAATCTTCATAATATACAAACTAAATATACATATATGTGTAAGTTGCGTGCAACATGCGTGCGTGATACTGTGATTAATTATTCATAACATCAAAAGATTAGTATATAATACAGTCCATACGACATTACAGAAAAATTCATAACACAGTAAAAATTTAGTCTAAAAAGGACAAAAATAAATAAAAACAGAGGGTTTTCAATTTTATAAAATATAAACCCACCAAGAAAACAAATGAACGGGTAGAAGAAATTCAAGTCGTGTATATTACAGACTCTCCGTAAAACCACTTCAATACCTCCCAATCGAGGATGTTAGGATCGTTGTAGCGTCAATCTCCTAAGGTAAAATGGATTACACCTTTTATTTTTGAGCACTCAAACAAAAAGTTTGGCGAACTAGAACAAAGATTGAAAATTTCGTATAATTAAGGTGTTGGCGTACACTTTAAGAATCAATTTCTCATTCACCCATTATTCATTTTGAGCGTACAATGTATTAATTTCTTCATCTCACTACGAAGAGTGTGAATCCACTTTAATCTAACCCAAATCGTAAGTCGACCTCACATATATTTGTACCACAAAATAGTTACTTACAATACAATTTTATACTAAAAATTCCAACATACAATGCTTTAAATTAATGTCGAGTAACAAGATTTTAGAAATATTGTGTATAAAATCATATAATAATGAAATTGTAATCAAAGTCTATGCAAGCACCTTGTGCTCAAATAGCATGTAATGACTTCTACCATGTGGAGGTTATGAGATCGAGCCTCAGTGGAGCCGTTTTTGACTCTGTGCTTCAGCATTCAACAAAAAAAAAAAAAAAAGTATCATATAAAGGGAAATTTAATTTGAATTGGATGATGAAAGGTTCAATATAATTAAAAAGAAACTAATTTATTAATTAGCGTACCATTTCCAGATTGCCTGCATCCGTTGCAGGATTTTTTTTATTTTTTATTTTTTTTTCCGTAGTAGGCCTATTAGCATCAGTGTTAGGGTGGAAGGCGGTGACGGCGGCGGAAGAGGCCACCGGCCGACGGCTGATAAATGAAATGCCGGCCGGGTTTCTTGATGTTTCCGACCGGGAGCAAAACAATAGATTTAGGTATATATTTTAATCCGTTGATTAAAGGGAAAATTGTAAAAAATGCCCCTCTATAATATGTCAATTATCAATGTCACCCCTGAATTATGAGTGGTGTAAATGTTGCCCCTCAATTATCAAAATGGTGCTCATATAGCCCCTCCCGTAACGGACCTGTGGTTCCCCACCGTTGTTCATCCCTGGTACTTCAAATCGAGGGAGGGAAAAAACAACTAAATTACATATTTACTCCGACTTAACGGTGTCCTACACTAACGGAGAACCACATGTCCGTTATGGGAGGGGCTATATGTGCACCGTTCTGATAATTGAGGGGCAACATTTACACCACTCATAATTCAGGGGTGATATTGATAATTGGCATATTATAGAGGGGCATTTTTTACAATTTTCTCTTGATTAAATGATTTATTTCTATTTTTCACATACTAAATGCAACGTAAAATTTAAATTTTGTTCTATTATATTTTTGCACATTCTTTGCACATAACTTAGAGATTAAAGTTGATCATGCATATAATTTATAGACTAAATTTATATTATCGATATATATTAAAGGATAAAAACAAATGCAATTTTTCTCTTTAATTTATGCAAAAACATTTGTATGTGAAAATAATAAGAGAGACGAAACAAATAAAAAAAAATGGAGCGTGAAAGCATTTCAGTTTGCACGGACCGTACATATCTTCAACGTGGACATCACTGTGCTGTACAATTGATTGATTTCTTTGAGTCTCACATCTCAAGACCGTGCTATAGATTTTTGAGGCAACGCACGCATGATGCACGCAACTTACACATGTATATATTTATATTTCAAATGAAAACAAATAAAAAAAAAAACAAACAAACAAAAAAAATGGCAAATGTATTTATTCAATTTTTCTCTTTAATTTATGCAAAAACATTTGTATGTGAAAATAATAAGAGAGACGAAACTAATAAAAAAAAATGGAGCGTGAGAGCATTTCAGTCTGCACGGACCGTACATATCTTCAGCGTGGATATCACTGTGCCGTACAATTGATCGATTTCTTTATGAGTCTCGCATCTCAAGACCATGTTATAGATTTTTCAGGCAACGCACACATGATGAAAGGAAAAGACAAATGTATTTATGCAATTTTTCTCTTTAATTTATGCAAAAATATTTGTATGTGAAAATAATAAGAGAGACGAAACTAATAAAAAAAAATGGAGCGTGAAAGCATTCAGTCTGCACGGACCGTACATATCTTCAACGTGGACATCACTGTGCTGTACAATTGATTGATTTCTTTGAGTCTCACATCTCAAGACCGCGTAATAGATTTTTTAGGCAACGCACACATAATGAAAGGAAATGACAAATGTATTTTTATATCCTTTCAACGATGTACGTATATATTTTCAACGCACACATGATGCACTCAACTTACACATGTATATATTTATATTTCAAATGAAAACAAATAAATAAAAAAAATTAAAAACAAAAAAACAAACAAACAAAAAATGACAAATGTATTTATGTAATTTTTCTCTTTAATTTATGCAAAAACATTTGTATGTGAAAATAATAAGAGAGACAAAACTAATAAAAAAAAAATGGAGCGTGAAAGCATTTCAGTTTGCACGGACCGTACATATATTCAGCGTGGATATCCCTGTGCCGTACAATTGATCTATTTCTTTATGAGTCTCGCATCTCAAGACCATGTTATAGAGTTTTCAGGCAACGCACACATGATGAAAGGAAATGACAAATATATTAATGCAATTTTTCTCTTTAATTTATGCAAAAATATTTGTATGTGAAAATAATAAGAGAGACGAAACTAATAAAAAAAATGGAGCGTGATTGCATTTCAGTCTGCACGGACCGTACATATCTTCAACGTGGACATCACTGTGCTGTACAATTGATTGATTTCTTTGAGTCTCACATCTCAAGACCGCGTTATAGATTTTTGAGGCAACGCACACATAATGAAAGGAAATGACAAATGTATTTTTATATCATTTCAACGATGTATGTATATATCTTCAACGCACACATGATGCACGCAACTTACACATGTATATATTTATATTTCAAATGAAAACAAATAAATAAAAAAAATTAAAAACAAACAAACAAAAAAAATGACAAATGTATTTATGCAATTTTTCTCTTTAATTTATGCAAAAATATTTGTATGTGAAAATAATAAGAGATACGAAACTAATAAAAAAAAAATGGTGCGTGAAAGCATTTCAGTCTGCACGGACCGTACATATCTTCAGCGTGGATATCACTGTGCCGTTCAATGGATCGATTTCTTTATGGGTCTCGCATCTCAAGACCATGTTATAGATTTTTCAGGCAACGCACACATGATGAAAGGAAAAGACAAATGTATTTATGCAATTTTTCTCTTTAATTTATGCAAAAATATTTGTATGTGAAAATAATAAGAGAGACGAAACTAATAAAAAAAATGGAGCGTCAGTCTGCACGGACCGTACATATCTTCAACGTGGACATCACTGTGCTGTACAATTGATTGATTTCTTTGAGTCTCACATCTCAAGACCGCGTAATAGATTTTTGAGGCAACGCACACATAATGAAAGGAAATGACAAATATTTTTTTATATCCTTTCAACGATGTACGTATATATCTTCAACGCACACATGATGCACTCAACTTACACTTATATATATATATATATATATATATATATATATATATATATATATATATATATATATTTGAAAGGAAATAGAAGAATTTATTAAAATAAGAGTTCAATACAAGGCGGAATGCTAGATAACCAACATAAAGGACCAGACTGAGAACGAGAAGCTTTTGCTAATGCGTGAGCTTGCTTATTCGCTGATCTTGGAACGAACTGAATAGACACCGATGCAAAGTGTCGTTTTAGAGTCTGGCACTCTCTTAATATGCAACCTGCTTACGATAGATCACGTGTCATACCAGAAAACCATCTGCAAACTATTTGGCAATCAGAATAGATAATCACCTTATTGTCACCTCTCTCTTTAGCCCAGGAAAGTGCTTCCTTCACCGTCATTGCTTCACCCAAAAAGGCATCCCCTATGCATCTAAGTGGACCATTTTTAGCCGCCAAGTAAGCGCCAGCGTTATCCTTTATTATGGCCCTGAAGAAACCGTCACCTGAATCATGAAACACCGACGCATCGACGAAAATACAAACGGTACCCTGTTCCTCGCATAGGTGGCTGTCAACGGTTGTCATTGCCGATAAAGGTGGCACAGCATGCTCCAAACCTTCCTCCCATGCAATTAACGTATGTGTAATATCATGCTTGAGAGATGAAAGCAGCCATACCTTACTATTCCACACTAGAGCATTACTGTGTTTCCAAATTATCCAACAAGCAGCAATGCAACTCTTGACAATCTGCCCATCAGCCATTGCTAGCCATTTAGAGAAGCAATCAACAAAATCATCATCACTTGCGATTTGCATGAGCGGGGCAGAATCCCACAAAGCCTGTACGTGTATACAGTCAAGAAACAAGTGGCGCAATGTCTCCGGATGCTGTTTACAGAGATGGCACATTGTATCCACATCCACTCTTCTTGAAGCTAAGGTTACCATAGTCGGTAAAACACCATGAATGCATCTCCATACAAAGTTTAAGATATTTGGTGGAATCTTAAGTCTCCATAGATCCTTCCAAGCAAAGCTGACAGGATGTCCAGAGTCCTGAACTGAAACCATCAACTTATATCCATGTCTTACTTGATACTGGCCATTTGTGTCATCTCGCCAACACCAACTATCAGTGAAAGTTGGAGCTACAGGTATTTTACGTATCAGACCAACATCTCTCTCCATAAAGCAACGAGTTAGCTTCCCCACATCCCAATCTTTTGTTATGGGATCTATCAATTCACTAACCCTCATGCTCTCACTATGATGCAAACGTATAGAGCGTATAAACGGATCAACTGCGTCAGGCAACCAAGGATGTTTCCATACCAAAGTATCCTCACCATTCCCAATTCATTTAAAACAGCCAGTGGTAAGAAGATCTTTACCAGCAAGGATAGAACGCCACACATAACTAGGATTTGTACCAATTTCTGCTTCCAGGAATTCCGTCCGCGGATAGTAGCGTGCTTTAAAGATACGGGCAGCAAGAGATGTAGGAACCGTTAGGAAGCGCCACCCTTGTTTAGCAAGCAGCGCAAGATTGAATTTATTTAGCTGCTTAAAACCCATTCCTCCTTCTGTCTTTGAGGGGCACAAACGACGCCATGCCATCCATCGTATTCCACCACCTTCGTTACCCCTAGAGCTCCACCAGAACTGGTTCATAATACGTTCAATATGCTCACAGAAGGTTATAGGCAGATAATAAATGCCCATGATATAAGTCGACAGAGCTTGGGCAACACTTTTAATAAGAACCTCCTTCCCGGCACGGGATAACGCTTTTTTATGCCATCCAGCAAGACGATGTCGTAGCTTAGTCTCAAGGTATGCAAACACCTCCTTTCTATTTCGGCCAATTCCCATTGGCAAGCCTAAATACTTTCCCAGATTCTCCACAGTCGTTATAGTCAGAGTATTAGTAATAGCACTTTTCTCATCAGCAGGTGTATTGGAGCTAAAAAGGATGCAAGACTTGCTGAAATTTACCGACTGACCAGACATACTTACACATGTATATATTTATATTTCAAATGAAAACAAATAAATAAAAAAAATTAAAAACAAAAAAAACAAACAAACAAAAAATGACAAATGTATTTATGTAATTTTTCTCTTTAATTTATGCAAAAACATTTATATGTGAAAATAATAAGAGAGACGAAACTAATTAAAAAAAAATGGAGCGTGAAAGCATTTCAGTCTGCACGGACCGTACATATATTCAGCGTGGATATCCCTGTGCCGTACAATTGATCTATTTCTTTATGAGTCTCGCATCTCAAGACCATGTTATAGAGATTTCAGGCAACGCACACATGATGAAAGGAAATGACAAATATATTAATGCAATTTTTCTCTTTAATTTATGCAAAAATATTTGTATGTGAAAATAATAAGAGAGACGAAACTAATAAAAAAAAATGGAACGTGAAAGCATTTCAGTCTGCACGGACCGTACATATCTTCAACGTGGACATCACTGTGCTGTACAATTGATTGATTTCTTTGAGTCTCACATCTCAAGACCGCGTTATAGATATTTGAGGCAACGCACACATAATGAAAGGAAATGACAAATGTATTTTTATATCCTTTCAACGATGTACGTATATATCTTCAACGCACACATGATGCACTCAACTTACACATGTATATATTTATATTTCAAATGAAAACAAATAAATAAAAAAAATTAAAAACAAAAAAAAAAACAAACAAACAAAAAATGACAAATGTATTTACGCAATTTTTCTCTTTAATTTATGCAAAAATATTTGTATGTGAAAACAATAAGAGAGACGAAACTAATAAAAAAAATGGAGCGTGAAAACATTTCAGTCTGCACGGACCGTATATATCTTCAACGTGGACATCACTGTGCTGTACAATTGATTGATTTCTTTGAGTCTCACATCTCAAGACCGCGTTATAGATTTTTGAGGCAACGCACACATAATGAATGGAAATGACAAATGTATTTTTATATCCTTTCAACGATGTACGTATATATCTTCAACGCACACATGATGCACGCAACTTACACATGTATATATTTATATTTCAAATGAAAACAAATAAATAAAAAAATTAAAAACAAACAAACAAAAAAAAAGACAAATGTATTTATGCAATTTTTCTCTTTAATTTATGTAAAAACATTTGTATGTGAAAATAATAAGAGAGATGAAACTAATAAAAAAAAATGGAGCGTGAAAGCATTTCAGTCTGCACGGACCGTACATATCTTCAGCGTGGATATCACTGTGCCGTACAATTGATCGATTTCTTTATGAGTCTCGCATCTCAAGACCATGTTATAGATTTTTCAGGCAATGCACACATGATGAAAGGAAATGACAAATGTATTTATGCAATTTTTCTCTTTAATTTATACAAAAACATTTGTATGTGAAAATAATAAGAGAGACGAAACTAATAAAAAAAATGGAGCATGAAAGCAATTCAGTCTGCACGGACCGTACATATCTTCAACGTGGACATCACTGTGCTGTACAATTGATTGATTTCTTTGAGTCTCACATCGCAAGACCGCGTTATATATTTTTGTGGCAACGCACACATAATGAAAGCAAATGACAAATGTATTTTTATATCCTTTCAACGATGTATGTATATATCTTCAACACACACATGATGCACGCAACTTACACATGTATATATTTATATTTCAAATGAAAACAAATAAAAAAAATTTAAAAACAAACAAACAAAAAAAAATGACAAATGTATTTATGCAATTTTTCTCTTTAATTTATGCAAAAACATTTGTATGTGAAAATAATAAGAGAGACGAAACTAATAAAAAAAATGGAACGTGAAAGCATTTCAGTCTGCACGGACCGTACATATCTTCAACGTGGACATCACTGTGCTGTACAATTGATTGATTTCTTTGAGTCTCGCATCTCAAGACCACGCTATAAATTTTTGAGACAACGCACACATAATGAAAGGAAATGACAAATGTATTTTTATATCCTTTCAATGATGTATGTATATATATATATCTTCAACGCACACATTATGCATGCAACTTACACATGTATATATTTATATTTCAAATGACAACAAATAAATAAAAAAAATTTGAAAACAAACAAACAAATAAAAAAAAAAATAAGTTACAACTCTTACTCCATTTTTACATACAATTAAACTTGCTTTCAGTCTCTGTCCTATTTTATTTGTTTGGTTCAGTTAACAAAACTTGACTAAAAATTTTTTTCATTTAATTTTTCATAAAATTAAGTTTAGTAATAATATATAAAATTTATATATTTGTAGAAACTTCATTAAAAGTACTATTATACACACATAAAACAACAAATTTAAAAATAATTAAGAATTACTAAAGAAAATAAGCAACCATTCTTGGTTATAGATATATAAGTGGCAATTCATTTGTAGTCCTAAAACATCTCCTTTTTGTTGTAGTATAATTGTACATGATTATTTTTGGTCTTCTGCCAACAAAATCATTGAAATATATATATATATATATATATATATATATATATATATAATCACATGAGAACTGTTGACATATTTGAACAATAATTTTGGGTATGTATATTATTGTGATTTTTTCGTACTTATTTACCTTTCAATTTAATCGAGGTGCTTTGGTAATTTCAATTTGTATTTTGAATGTTGAAATAATTACATGCGGATGATGTGCTCGATTTTAGAAGTTCAATTTATAGTAAATGTTAAGAAAAAATTGTAATAGATTTTGATATGCCATATTGTAAATCGTAGAACCCCAATTTTATTTTAGTTAGACTAGTCGAGCCATAGACCAAGAAAGGGAAAAATAAATTCATTAGTTGAGGAAATGGATGAAAAAGAGATAAAGCCTAAAATCAAGAATTTGCCTAGTGAAAATGGCAAACAAAAGAGGAAGATGTATGGGTATGAAGAAGTTATGAAAACTTTCATCCTAAGAAGAAATCTCTCAAAGAAAATCAAGAAGAAATCCCTCAAAAAATCCCGAAGAAGAAAGAACGTGACTTGAAGTTTGCATGAAGCTATCTTGAAGATCAAGCATCTATAGAAAGAAAGAAGTACACCAAGTGAAACAAGATGATGATTAAAAGGTTGTACGGACGAGTTGGTAGAAACTTGAAATATTATATTCAAGGTTATAGGTTCAAATCTCACATCCCACATATTTTAGAAGCCAAGTTTAAATCCATCAGATGAAGTTTGGGCGATGGTTCTCAAAATTAAAATAGGGATGCAATTTGAAGGGATGAAGTTCACGTATCTCACCCTTGGGGCAAAACTCAAAATTGAAATGGGGATGCAATTTCGTATCTCACCCTTGGGGCAAAAGTTTCAATTTGATGGGATGAGATTTGCACCCTTGGGGCAAAAGTTTCAATTTGATGGGATGAGATTTGCAAAGGGCTTCAATTCAAGGGATGATGGGATGAGATTTGCAAAGGGCTTCAATTCAAGGGATGAAGTAGCAAGTCCAAATCAAGGAAGGGACATGGAAGAGATAGAAGAAATATAGTAAGGGATGAAGTTTACATGGAAGAGATAGAAGAAGTAGTAAGGGATTAAATTGGAGATTATATTTTTAGGGATGAAGTTTACATGGAAGAGATAGAAGAAGTAGTAAGGGATTAAATTGGAGATTATATTTTTGAAGATAGAAATCCCAAGGGGCGTGATCTACCCCAGATGAAGATTTTTGGGACGCCATTTTTGCTAAAACCTCAAGCTCAACTTGCAGAGAATCTCTGACATATCTGCAACGTTATCTTATCCTCTGAAAAGGCTATACAGCTAGATGAAATTAAAAAATGAGAACGTTTCTTTCCAACGGACGGATTCTCATTACCAGCTATAAAAGGATGAAGATTGAAGCAGTGGAAAGTAGAAGCAAATAGCAAGAAGCGAAAAGAACAGAGCTAAACAGAACATACGAAATTCAAAGAAAGCTTTCCATCTCAAGATCATAAATTGATATATTCTTTGTGAGATAAACACTCAGAGTGATACACAGCTTACAAAAGAAATATTCAAGAGTGTTAAAATCTTCATCAACTACAAGAGACTAAGAGCATCATCGAAGATCATCTACAGAGTCTCAAAGTTGGAAGCAAGGCAAAACTTGTTTTGGAGCAAAACAAGGGAAAGGAGGAAAGTAACACGGAGTTGTGAAATCCTGGATTGTCACACGGAGCTGTGAGATCCGAAGCAGCAGTGTCGGAAGACAT